CTTTAGTACACCTTTTTGTCCCCTATGTCACTTTGAATGTCCGAAGTTTTAGTGTCAGACTTCTGTGAGTAGGCAAATTACAATATCCACACAAGCACTCTCACAGTCATATTGTACTAAAACCCAATATCCTCACGCAGGCGCCACCCTATACACCCTATACACTATTAAATATCAAATTAAATATTAACTGTTTTAACTCATTGAAACGTGCCAAAAAAACAAAACGTACACCTCTCAATCAATGTTTTTGTTTTTTGTTTTTTTACAAGCTGATTTGCTCCTTTAGATTTGTAAGTTTCAGGACAAATATTACTCCATGTAAGTGTGAGTAGTATATTATTGTTGTTGGTGTAGTTCCTCCTGTGTCCTTTAATTCATAACATTATATTTAATAAGACCATATAATCCAGTACTGTACACACATTTTTGTGAACTACTGCATAGTTTCTACTTTTAATGAACTCTTGTGCTTCAATTATACTTTGCTAATGATGGTCATGCACATTTAATCAAGTGATATTTTCAGTATAAGACTTTTACTGATAATGTAGGAATTTCTATATTACTTAATTGCTAAGTGGCTATGGCCCATAGGGAGTATTACAGCTTGTTTTCAAATAGTCTTTTTAAGACTATATTAAGATGGTCAGTTTCACCATCCTCACTGCTGTGTTTACATTCTGACTGAAGTAACGCCAGCATTATAAGCAACGTCAGCTCTTTTTCACTTGTGTAAATGCATATTAAATAGTTTCAAAGCAATAACATGGCTATAAAAGATACAAGGCTTTAAAAATCCATCATACTTTTTTTTCTTTCAGTCTTGTCTAGAATCAATTAAGCAATTAGCTGTTCAATAAAAGCAAACAAACCATAAAACAAACATACCACAAAAGGTCAAGCGAATGTGAATTAACACTTCTCTGATAAGAGACAGTGTTAAAGCCTTTTCATAATTGAATTGGGGGGGAGGGAGAAACACTGCACATAACTATATGCATGTTTTTTTGTTTTGTTTGGCTGATTTTCACTTGCAGAGACAGGTTAGGAGTCACCCCACCATATCTACACCACAACAAGCCTGCAGCCACCACAGTTAGCAGGTGGAGTAGTGTGCCAGACAAGGTGTTTTGGTGCTAAAGTTCATGATTTCACTTAGATCCACATTTAGGAAGTTAATTGGTATCCAACAAATACCATGGCTAATTAAACAAGCATTTTTACCATTCCGTTTTTAATATTTGTTGTTTTTGTCACTATTAAGCCCACAAGCACACAATCTCTGTCAGGTGCTAATATGAGTGAAGAAAACACAACGATCCTGCTAAAACACATGAGCTATTGAAATGTGAAAAAGTGAGACTTTGTGAGTTGATATACAGTTTCATGTTTATTAAAATGGGACGGATTTACAGTTTTTACACTCCATCCACATTGGCATCAATTTAGAAAGCAACAAACAGGTACAAATGCAGTATATACATACCAGTATACATATATTTATAAAACAGCATTTTTTTTCACACAACTGACCAGTTTTTTGTTTGTTTGTTTGTTCTTTAAGTCATGTTGCAGAGGCCTTTTAGTCAAGCCACGATTATTCTTCAGACAGAAAGATGCTGTGCATAAGCAGTGAATTTCTGTCATGGAAAGTGAGTATCTACAAGGTTCAAATTTCCATGTTAGAAAAATAGTCAGAATGTTTACACAAATTTTCCTACAGAAAGGGGTTGCAATTGGCTAGCATCAACAGCACAGGCACTAGAGAAACAAGCAAAACCGTAGGCTGGACAACTGAGAATTTGTTAAAAAATAAATAAATGTCGGTTTCTATTGTATGACTCAGAATTACAACCCGACAACAGTTAAAACAGTTTCTCATAACTGTTATGTGATGGACATGTCTAAGATGACAGAGTGTTAAATAAGACATGGAGGTACACAGTGATTTAACTTGTGAGTGTATTGTGTACAGCAGATTTACATAAACATGTTTAGGTTTTGTCAGTTTTCCCTCATTCCTCCGTTATAGAATCCCTGCATCTCCCACCACCTGAGCCAACACAAAGTGAATCAGTTTGACATTCTTTAGCAAAGCATCAGCTCCAGCAAATATTTAGGAATATGTCCCTGATTCTGACTGTTCACATAATTTAGCTACATAAACATTATTACATAACATGCCTTTACTTATGCCTGTCTGAGGGAATCATTTATGAGGTCCAAGTTGCACTTTATTGTTATCTGACACAAAAGCAACATTTGGAAAAGTACAGACGGAGAGAACAGTGTTCTGTGATGACAGGCCTGTAAAGAATTTCGGGGCTATCTTGATAATATAATACCGCTGACTTCCATTTCTTTCCATTTTTGAGAAAGGTGTCATGATTAAAAGGTTAAAGCCATAACTCCAGCACTCTGGAGGAAGCAGTTATGGAAGCTAAGATGTATTGAGTGATACTGTATGTCTTTGGCCCAGCAAAGTTGAGGATGGTTTGTTTTCTCACCACAGTAAGACAGTAAGAACATATTTAAGGGTAATGTGCAGGGCAATGTCATGCATTACAGTCACCATCATATAGAATTCAGCAAGAATTCATCCTTGTCCACATAATTTGACACACTGTCAAAGTATGTATGATGCAACAGTAGGAAGTATGAATTTGCAATTATGTAAATATTTTAATCCCATAGGTCCAATAACTCTCAAAGCATTTCTTTTTAACCAAGACCAGATTATTTGTGAATGGATGGTGGTGTGACATAAAAGTTAAATGTTTGTTCTCTCAGAAACAGTTCTACATAGTTTTTCCATTAATATTTTCAAAGCATATTCAGGGCAACAAGTAGAAGTGAATAAGACTGTAAAGTAGTTTCCATAAGCCATTTGTTTTCAACATGTTACACATTACTGCCATCTTGTGGCAAATGTTTTTTACAGCTTGCACAAAATGGACACAACATCTTCTGTACTAAAATAGGTGAGCTATGAAAAGTAAGTGATTTACCCACAGATAGTCATACCTGAGATAAATTACAATTATATTACTGCTTTGGAACAAATTACCTCCTAAGATTTGAGCCAAATTTAATTTCAGAACGTCAACTCTTTTCATGGCCTTACTAACAAATGTTTAATTTTCCCAAAGTAGATTTTGACTGAAACAAACATTTGTTTTGTTTCGGTATAAGGATTCAAATGAAAGAGTATATAACATAAACTTACTGACCCACTAAATATTAAAAAACAAACAAACAAAAAACATTTTAAGAACTGTTTTTTTTTGTTTGTTTGTTTAAGTTGAGTGTAGGGTATTTGATCTGTAGTATAACTGAAACAAACTGTTCAGATTGACTACATTGAAAATACAAGCCCCAAAGTCCAATTTCAGTGTGACCCCAGTCAGTACATCTTCATTAGTGAGATTCTATTTCTTCTATTTATTTTTCTATATTTTGTACATCAACCTTGATTCTTGATGACAGATCCTGCTGGGTATGGATGATACCAGTCATACAAATCTACAGGGAAATATTTGGCTGTTCTTCACAGTTGATTCATTTCAGCTGTTTATAACTGGAGGGGTGTTGTTGCTCTGATTTACACTTCAAAATACTCCAAAGTTGTTCAAGTCGGTCTGCATATTTGGCCAAGTCAGCTTTTACTTTTTCAAGTGATTGCTGCAGTGTGTTTGGGATCATTCTCATGTTGGAAAAAAAATCTCACCTGCCAAGTTTCTTAAGATAGGGGGTCATCTTTTCATTTAGTACTTTGGTACAAACTTGCAGTCATTGTGCCGTAAGACATCTTCTCTACACCTTTTGTGATCATGCAGCCTTATGCCAGCACACTCTCACATCACAGTCAGCACTATCCAAACCAAACATGCTGGCTGGTTGGTTTTTTCTGACCAAAGAAAGTGCTACCTAAATACCAGGTTTCTTTGTAATGTTCTTTGGCAACATTTATTCTGCAGTTTTGCACCACAGTAACTGATTTTGTTGTGGATACCATCTGAAGAGTTTGAGTTCATGCAACGGCCTTCACATTGTCTGAGCGCCACCGAAACATCACGTTCCACAGATAGTCTTTGTGTCGAGTCAGTAGGACTTACCAGTCTGTTTCTTAATGCAAGGTAGTGCTATTAGAGGTGTGGCTCGTGCTATACCTGCCAACTACTGCTGCAGTGGTGTTTCTGATTGTTAGCTTACCCTTGTATCCTTTCCCATCATTGTGAAATGACACAAAATGGTTTCTAGCTTGCTGCGGCAATTGCTTTAACATGTTTAGGCATGTTGCAGGCCACAACTGAGAAAGCGGTGGTGTTCACAGGTTTTTTTTTTGGGTTTTTTTTTTTACCTTGATCATACATTTTGCTGTAACTGGACTTCTGTTGCAGTGGTCAAAGTCAAGCTGACTTTTGGTGAACTGAGGTTTTACTTTGGAGCCTGTATTTCAATGTAGACTATCAGACCTGTTTCTGTTTAGCCATTCATTAGATCAAATACCCTACAATTGGACTTAAAATTAGTAATTATTTCAAGATGACACCATTTTGAATCACTTAACATTTTAGTAATTTTGCACACACGTGTACTCCATTTTGTTGTGCACTATATTTAGCAATTTATATACCCTGGTCAAAAAAACAAAATGGATTTATGACGGCAGGTGGGCAGTGAAGATTCCTCTCAATTTATTTTACTCAAAGCCAGACAATACTTATGAAGCTTGATTTCACATGAGCTGCCACTTCTCACTCAGCCATAACATTTGCTGTCACGTTTCACCATCGGTGTATGTTATCAGTTTTGGAAGGTCAGTCTGATTGGTCCTTGATGTATTCTAAGATCTTCAGTTACACTTATTGATGACTAGTGAAGCGATGCCAGATTTCATGTAGTGTTTTACAAGGTTACTGCTCCACAGACGATACACGTGACAAGGTTTCTTACCTTGGTAACAGGACATTCAAACTCTAGTGGGTTTGGATCAAATTGTTGCTGGCAAAACTGAAATACTGCAATACAACACCCATTGCTCTTATGGCTGAAGGGAAATAAAGCAGCAGTGAGACCAGATCAGAACAGAATGTAAATGATATACATAAAAGACTCCGTTTCCATCAGTACTGATGAGTCTTTGTAGTATTTCACAATAAAACCTAACACTGCAATGTGCAAGTTAGGACAGTATTAATATACCCATATGGGTTGATTAGACCAAAACAGTTGTAATACTATTCATGCTTCAAAAAAATATTCGCAACAGGATTCAAATATTGTGTGTTCTGTGTTTCAAGCAGCCTGGAAAACTGTACCAGTGAAGACAGGACGGGCAAAGAACTGAAACTTTAAGTCTGAAAATGTGGTACAATAACTGCACATGAATAAATAGCTGAAATCCTCTGTTCCTCCCTCACACAAATACAAACTCGCCCAGCTTTCTTTGTGTTTCTTGTTAACTCCATAGCAGATTTGACTATGGACATTGGTGTTCTGTGCTTTTTGTTATCCCTACAGTCCCCAGCCATCCAAAATCAGTACGTCCTGCTGTACTTCATTGCCTCTAATCACAGATCACATGGTTGTTTGAAGGGTCAAGTCTCACGTATGGTTACTGCTATTAGTCAACTGTCTCTTTGTGGGAGAGTCTGTTACTCTCTGTGCAACACAGTGAGTATGGACAGGCACTCCACCTGGCAGACACACAACGGCTGGCTCACTGAAGGTGTTGTGGCACAGATGGCATCCCTTCTTTTTAGACACAAAGATGGGTTTCTTGCGCTCTTTCAGCTGGAGGGAAACACACATAAAAGAAGAGTTACAATGACTTAATTCAGCAATGAGCACCTAAATAAAATTTAAAAATTAGAAGTTCAATCAGTTCTCATCTCAAATTTTTACAAATAAGATGAATAGCCTGCCAAGAATAATTTCTTAGTGAAACAATTTATTTAATAAATGGGAAACACTTTGTTATTTTGTATGCCAGATTATAAAGGGAAAGAAAGTTCCATATCCAAACTAATTACTTCATACAAAAGTTTAAATCTGGGAGACTTATAAGTTTCAAATTTTAGAAAAAGATGATGGCTACAACTGTGCTTGTTTTTAAATAATAATATAAAAGTAGTTTCTGAATAATCACTTAAATGACTAATCTTTAAAGCTCCACTTTATTTAGGTTTGCTGTGTGTATTTGAGAGGTTATGAGAGAATTGTAACTTCATCAATGTATTCAAAACAAATAGTGAAGCATTTTTACTACCATTATTGCTGATGAACCTTTGTAAAACTTAATGTATCTTTAGTTTCAAATAACAAACTTGGTAACAAACCTAAATGTTCATCATCAAAGCCAGTAAAACAACACATTAAACAAGTGTGGCTGTCACTGTACAGGAAAAATTAGGTATTTAATTATTGAACTAACTTGCATATTATTGTATTAAGTAATGGGTTTCTCACCCTGTCATGCAGCAGCTGAAGGTTTTCAGAGTGGGCTAGCCCCAGAGCGATCTGGGAGGTGCGGCAGGAGTGCATACTGGCCCTGACTGCTCGACCCAGAAATGGCCGCAGCAGCTGCAGTGACCAGCCTTCAGGCAGCATTCGCAGCACTTGGACTGCATCAAACACCTCGCCGTGCCGATTTAGTAGGTCCACTGCCGCCATCTCCAGCTCTCCAGTGCCACCTCTCGCTGCTGCCTGAGCATTCGCAGGAAGGCTGCCATCTAGATACACCCCCAAGAGCAGGTGAAATAGCTGCTGTCGGTATTCAGAATCTCGACAGGAGGAGGCCCATATACAAAAGGCCTCAGCGGACGGGAAGTCTCTTAATTTGTGCACCAATATGTGCAGTGCTTTGTCATGTTCTTCTAATTTTCCATGTAGTGTTGCACGCTCTAGCAGCAGTTGTTCACAGTTCTCCATTTTACCTAACCAGAGCAGAAGAATACAAAACAACTGTAACCAACCAACTGTACAATGACAACATAAACACTATTATAAGTAAGTGACTAAACAACATCTTAAACAAAATGTTGAAAGGACTGGTCCAAATCTATTTTTATGCAAAAATAGAAAGCTCAATGTTAAAAGTGGAATCTTCAGATATTTGTCTCACCTAAAAGAAGCTGAACACGGTAAAGACTGGATTCCCTGAGCAGGGCTTGGAGCCTCCCTCTAGCTTCGGTCAGCTGTACTTCATCTGGTGACGACTCCGACAGCAATGACAAGACCTTCTCCAGGTACATCACAGCCAGGTGTGTGTGGAACTTCTCCTTCTGCATTCACAAACATGGAAGACAAACAATGCAAATCAAATAAGCTCTTCATGAGGAGGGTGCTTAGAGAAAAATAATACAATTGTTAAAGCAGTCACCCTAAAACATCGTTTTGCAGTATTCTGATATTAACATTGTTCACTATTTTGCATAAGAAAGTTAGGCAGCTTTTTTAAAATTTATTCTAAGACGTTACAACAGGTTGCCTTTAAGCTATACTAGAAATGTACACTAAAAAAAAAAGACAGTGTCTAGTGTTGGATACCTCAAGGAAAGAGGGGACATCATCAGCCTCACCTTCACAACAAATTCTGACATATCCATAAAAAGGCTTTAATTTCCTAGCTTCTACAACTGAGTGTATTAGTAATCAACAGATCAGGCTGACATCATACTGAGCAGCTTCTAAATGTAAAATTGTAAAACATCCTTTTTCTCAAGTACCTAAACCTATGGTGCAAGACTCCTGGAATTAAGGGTTTACATACTGTTTAAAGGCAACCTGATTCACCTAGCTCCCAGGTCAAGGAGGAGGTAAAGGACAGCACCACCCATTGTGTCTCATGTGACCCACTTCATCAAAGTACTTTCAGAATTAGAAAGTGGTAAATAGTGAGACTGCTGCAGTCCATGTAAATGTATTCACGACAATAATACAGTTCAACACTTTTGAAGAACTGATACTGCAGGGAAATTCCTCCTATGATGCTTGCTGCCCTGCAGCAAGGTTAGTGTTTGAATCTGCTACAATAAAGTGTCTCTGATGCAAGGACAGAGTTCGTCTACGGCAAGGACACTTTCACAGACACGACACTTGTCAACACTAAAGGTGTGTGTTTATGCAGAAAGGATTTCAGCAGTGTTTTTCAGTTGTCTGTCTTACACATGTCTGTTAGGACAGATATGATCCAGTTTTACTCATTTTAGCTGCCTACACAGCCAAGTACAACACAGCTCTAAATGCCCTTAAATGTGGAAAACTGTATTATTTACACTTATAGGGTATTTTACTGTATTTTCCCCACACAACTATAATCATTTTGTGATGTACAGCAAAAATCAAATGACTTACAACTCAATATTGTGCCTGAATGCCTCCTGTGTAGAGACACACAGAGTATCAGAGCTACTGCATTGCTAGCATGTTGCTCACACTTCACCTTTGAGTTCTGTCTCATCACACAGTCACTCTGTCACATTTGTCATTACCAGCTGAATTATTTTTTTTTTATCCATTTGTTGTACCTGTATCCTTCTCTCCAGCACCAGATGCTCCAGGTAGAGAATCAGCGCCTGGCTGTCCTTTCCCAGGTAAGTGATGACATCATCAGGGTTCAGCTCTGGCAGGTCTTTCCTTCCAGGTCTCTTTGTAAAGATGTGGACACCTGTCTATGAACAAAAAAAAAAAAAAAAAGAAAGGTAAGGTTATTACCACTATTGTTGTACCACTCCAAGAAAAATGTCAAAGGTAATGCAAAATAGTCTGAAATGAAGGAGTAAGTTTGCAAAGCTTACACCAAAACACACTCAACAACTTACAGTGTTTCTAGACACTGCACTGTGTAAGTCACCCATAAACTGAGTCGCATGCCAGTATATCATATAAGGGAGGTCAATAAGAACTCAGTACCTTCTTTTTTAATAGGAAACTGAAAAAATATTTTGCAAGCACTGGAAAGTGACAGATGACATCCCTCCACAAATCAACCAAGTTGATCAGAACTAATATTTTGGCATCAGAGTTACATTTGTGGAAACCTACGGTGGGATCCTTCCGCAAAGCCCAGTCTGCATAGTTCCATACAAGGTCTAGATTGGAGGAGGAGCAGAGAAAATCCACGATGTACTCATAAAGATCAGATCTTGTGGAATCCTGCAGATCCCCATCTACCACACGAATCCACAACTGCCGGAACAAAAAAAGAAAAAAAAAAGAGAGGGTAAATGTTTAATTTCTAAGCATTGATGCAGATTCCTCTGAATAAATCAATAATATCAACAATGGACAACATTTAGACATACATACCTGAAGCGCTGCTGAATCCTGACCATGATAATGATACAGCAGTCCAAGTGCAAAATATCTACAGAGACACAAAAAGGCAGAATGAAACTGAGCCGCTCCCTCAAGATTTCTTTGAACAGAGTAATTAAATTGGCTCGACTCAAGTGGACATAGCATTAAAGCCTTACCAGGGTGTTAATTAACAGCGTGGGGCAAGGGAAAGTATTTACCCAACAAAGCCCCATCTCAGTCTGTCCCTCAAGGAATTTGTGAAATTTGGAGCTATAATAATTAATGAAAACTATACTGATTCCCACAGTGATCCCACAGTGGTGTTTTTGCTAATTACCACAGTTTCCAACATTATTTATTAACAGTTTAAAGTGTTTCAGATTAAAGTGCAAGCTCAGCTAATGGAGATCCAACAGAAGTGACGCCTCTTGAGGTGATAAAACGTCTATGTGTAGAATGCAGCAATTTTCAAAACACTTTTCAAATGTGATCAATCATTTAACTTATGTCTTTTCCACTCAAAACGTAAGAGCATACACACTTGTGATATTTCTCCAGCCATGGGACGCTATCTGCTAGCACGCAGGCATTGTCTGAAGCCAGGAGGTCTAAAAGGCTGTCGTGATCCTGCTCAGCGTAGAGCTTCAACAGTGCCGTGTCCACGTCCTCCCTGCAGCCATTTGCCACCTCTGTGCTTCGTACCTGCATGTACAAAGGAAGACAAACACAGTCAGATACATACTATAGAGTACTACAAAAACGGAAATACAAAAGTGTATTATTGGAAAATCATGTGTAAATCAGATATTAATGAAGTTACCTCTCCTAAATAACTAATAAGGAATTTCTTGCATCGCAGTACTTTCTCCTGGTCACCCTGTGCCAGATGGTTGAGATCTGCAAACTCATGCAGAGGAGGGTGGCAGCGTGTGAATGAGGAGGAAGCTGGCAGCAGCAATGGGTAAAGAGATATCAACTCTCGCACATCCAGCTGACCCTTCCTGAAAAATGTAACAGTGAGGTCACAAAAACTGCTAATGCATGAGGCAATAAAGAAGTAAAGGTCAAAAATGTAGTGCAGTCAGCAAGTACTGACCATATCTTATAATCTACACTTTCAAACAGCACTGGAAATATAAACTCCTTGATGGAGGCATTAACAAAATTACAAAGCTTTCTGGGGATCACAAATATTAGCAAGTAAAATGTTCCCACTAAAGGTGACCTAAAATAAGGACTACTTATGGGGCAGATACTTTTGGATTAGACAGATGACCTGATCAAGTGCATGTCTATGGTTCCATATGTAACAATTTATTCCAACAGTGATTTGATTTAAATTCAATAACAACAGCTTGATAGGTACTGGAATGTGTAAGTTGGGGGGAAAAAAAGGAAAAAAAGTCAGCAATATTAATTGAGTGTAAGCATCTACAATATGTAATATCTTCAATATTTATCATTTGATGAAGCTTTATGAATGACCTGGCTTTTCTAGGAAATCGTTGGGTCTGAACAGTTCCTGCCATACTTAAGCAACAGACAGGTCAACCACATGTCAGGTGAGTTTAGCAAAAGCTGGGCACACTGACTCTTACCTGAAATGTTCTTTCGCTTCCAAAAACTGAAGTTGTCCAAAGTGTATGAAACCTGCCTGCTGGAGGATTCTTTTGTGCAAAATCTGTACAAGCACAACATAACATTAAAGAATACAACTGTGTTTTTAGTTTACAAAACTACAGTCAATAACGCAGTTCATCTTAGATTATTAGTCAGCATTATGAATCTCAGTGCAAACCAAGTTATTGTGTTTTAACTGATTATTAGTGGCATCCAGTATCATTGTAAGGCTCACGCAATATCATCTTTTCAACATAGTTCAGCCATAAAAATCAAAAGCAGCACTCAGTTAGTTACCTGGAACTTGTCTTTGGGAATATTCCTCTGTGCTCCCTCTGTTAGGATCAGCGCCTCCTCCACTCTGTGACTGACCAATAAATCTTGAATCTGTCTCTCCAACGGCAGAGGAACCGAGACATACACAGCCTTAATGGAAGCCAGAATGACCTTCCCTAAAATACACAACACACAGGTCAGATTACAGGCAAAACAGTGGAACTATAGAGCAAATCAAGATCCTCTACACTGGGTTTCCCGCTTCAGCTCAGAGATGGTTCAGTTTCAAACATAACGATGTTGTGTCATTATGCTTGAAATCTCCTTTTTTTGCATCTGTCCAAAGTCTTATATTCATTTAGTTTCTTATTTTTAAAGCTAAACTGAGTAACATTTTAATTCTAACACTGAAATGAAATATTGTTTGTAATAGGAAGTGATTGGTAGTGTTTCAGATCCCATTATGAGCCAAGACCCCGACACAGCTTTCAGCCACTTTCTGTTAAAAGGTTTCAGTTTCTTAGTTCAGTAAGCAAAGCAATGACTTATTTCAGCCCCAAACTACTTACGAACCAAAGCATGTTTTCTCAGTTCCATTTTTCAGGGAATAGTGTGCACCAAAACGCACTTGACGGTTCAAAACACCTCAAGAATTGATGTTATATTAGCAGTTGGTGGGCTCTAAATAGGTAAGATAATGCTAACTTCAGGTAAGGCTTCATACAGCAGTTCTCCTCCTTCCTCTTGCATCATTTTATCTGTTTATCATTAAAAGAAAGTGGACTGAACGTCCATGAACCCCTTTGATAGTGTTTCTTTCTTTTGATTTCTTTAAGGTTAACAGGTGGTCTGATTAGATGCCACAGGCTGAAAGTCTTTGGGGAAGCAATATGTGAAGATACCTTCAAAGTCTTGCAGAATGTGTCCGTCCCTGAATGAAAGGGTCTGTTTGAGTTGTTGGTCCAACATGCTGTGGATGGTGATGAAGCTCTCATCCAAAGCCACCACGTACGGAAAACACACAGCGGCACCAATCACACTCTCTGACCAGTTGACTGGAGCCCGCTGGGATATCCCCTCTGCATTGGCAAACATACCTGAGGAGGCAATTTCAACATCCACTCAATGAAAGAAATATTTGTATATCTTTCCAAAAACATTAAATGCTCACTGATAATTCCGTTTGCAGAATTAAAAAAAATCTATTTCAAAGATTTTGCTGCCAAAAACAAACAAAATATTATGTCATTTAGCACAGCCTTCAGCAACTCAATAAAGAAAACAGATTAAACATTAAAGCAAAGATGGGAAACAGAGGCAATCCCACAACTGTAAGGTCGTATTCAGACAGCAAAAGTGAAAGCTCTCCATTTCGGAAAGGCTTTAGCTCGAAGAATGTTAGATATTTTTGTAGTCTTGCCCAAAATAATTAACATTTAAATCAGACTTGAGCAGTTTGGAGTTGTCCATCTGTGGCTCCAGATTGAGTCCAAATTCACAGCATTCTAAAAAAATGTCCTTCTAAGCCTGCAGTTAGTCTTTTTCTGCATTGACTTACCCAGACCACCAGGTGCTGCTAAGAGGAACTCTTCTCTGCTGATCCTCTTCACAATAGGTCTCCTCTCCTCGCTGTTGTAAGGAAAGAGATCCTGGGAGGTTCCTGTGTTGTAGTTCAGAATCATGTACTGTGTGGTCAGGGCCAAGCACAAGAAGTAACCATCAAGACTGACAGCGCAGGGTTGTTCAGGAGTGGTCACCTCTTTGACCAGCTGCACTCTGTCCTCATACACCATGTAAATCTGTACTGTCCGGCGCTTGGAGGAGAGTACGCCCATTTCCACACAGAAGGGATCGCCATTCACCGGGTTCTCATTAATGCAGAACGCCGTGACACTTCTGATCTTGGCTCCACCTCCTGCCGCTGAGGGTACAGTCTCCAGTGTCACCATGTCGACGAGGAACACTATCCCATCGCAAAGCACAATCAGGCGCTCCAAAGCAGAAGCAGCCCGAAGCTCAGCGACTGGTTTCTTGAGGCCCAGGTATTTGTGTAGCAGCTTCTGAGCTGAGTAACTCAATTTTCCTTTGGAAGAAGTGACCTCGTCCAGCAGAAAGTGGTGGATGAAGCAGTCATTGGTGCCCACGTACAAGTGCTTTCCACAGCATTCAATGCACTCAATGTTGATGCGAGCTTTGTCACCCATGAGGAGGTCTCGCTCCACAGCGGGGACAAGCTCAAAAGCCTTCACACTCATCTCAGCCAAGGCATCTACACTAGATGATACAAAACAGACAAGCATCAACAAAACTGTAGTCAAGTTAAAATAATCAATATGAACGTATACTGCACAACATTTCCCTGTGATACATTATTTATCCATAACCTGGGCGTGTCTCTTATTCACTACAGTCTCTGGATCTGGACTGCTTTGAGGTAGTTCAGACACTTTTTATAATGTTGGCTATGTGTAGGTAAAACACAGCGCTGGCCTCTGAAGAACTGTGACAAATTGATATTGAAATGACATTTCTAATAAGTCTTGTTAGCAGCATTGTATGCAAGTTCACCAGCGCACAGAGGTTGGTTTATGCTCAGTGTGTCTTTGACTGTGTCAGGTCCAGAGAGGGACATAAAGTGTTAGTTGTCTGATTAGAAAAGCACTCACTCACATACACTCTGTATTCTTAAGGGCACTTTATCTTTTAGATCATTTCCTGAAAATGTCTGATAAACGTTGCAGTCTGACACAACAGATGACAGCAGCACAGCACACGGGTACATATTGGGCATATGATTTAGGATTTGTTTAATAGGGTTATATCTTATACGTTCTGACAGATGTGGCTACACAGAGTAAAGATGCACCTAGATGTTGAAGTAATGCGTCACGCCGGTTTTATACACTTCTGTACGTGTGAGCAGAGGCAGAGAAACATCTTCTCATCAACACAACTTCAGTGTCTGTCCTCTTGTAGTAACGTATCTTCATTCCTACCATCCTATCCTCTAATTCACTTCTTTCCCTCAAATCTCGCGAATAATTTCTTTAAATAAAGTTATCCCTCTGTGTATAAGTGTTGGGTCGGGCAAAAAGTGATTTGTAACAGTTTTGACACGCATTAGCTAACAGACTCTCATGCTCAAACAGTAATAGCTAATGACGTTAGCAGTAGCTAGCTTCCCAAATCTAGATGCTAAAGGCAGCAACACAAAATAATCACTGGTTAACAGTGGCTACGTGAAGAGGGATGCATTGTAGGAAGCATAACTAAATTAAGGTTGTTATAAAGTCCTGGATAGCTTTCAATTCACATGGTAGCTTCTCGGCCAGCTAGCTGTGCTAACTTTAGCTTTAACAGAGCAGTGATGCTAGCAAGCTAATTAAAGCTAAGTTACATCTTCAACGTGGCTAAAGAAGTGCTTGTTCATCCTGTGTTTCAACAAGTCCTACAGTTACGTTACCACAGAGGTGTCTACTTGAAGGATAAACACCTATTTTCTACTCGGCCTCCCCTCCCTTGAGATGATGCTCTGCGCACCAACTCCCTGCCCAGTTTCTCTCGGAGCTGTCGGCGTTAGCCAGCATACCTACCGCTGCAGACAGCACTCAGGACGGCAGGCCGGATTACCACCAACAGGCGCGCCTTACTGCTCCGAAAACTGCGGCCATGACATGTATTTACAGTTAAACATCAACAAAGCCATGGTGCGAGAGTCGACACCGCACCGACAGGCTGGAAAATATGGCTTTGAATGGTCGGTCTTCCTTATCCAGGATAAAACACCGCCCATTTGCATTGAACCCCCGCTGGCTGCAGGTGATACAAGGCTGCGTTCAAGACTGTCCAGCAAGTTATTGCAGATTATTTCTAAACGTAGTTTATACTGACTTCAAACGTATGGAATACCGTTTTATTCAGTATTAAATAACAAACAAGTTTATTTATATAGAACTTTGTCAAACTTATAGGTTATTTGAAGTGCTTTACAGGAAAAGATTTTTTTTTTAAAAATCTGACTAACTAAAACAAAATAAGATAGAAGATAGGCAAAAAAAAAAAAAAAGTACACGTAAAAATAAATGTGTACATATATTAATGAATATTCACCATGAAATAAATTTCTAACTTTGGATATATAATAAATTCTGCGGGAAAGAGGCAGTGCATGTTTAAATAATGTAACTAAACACATTAATTTTATTCATTTCAAAAACTACTTTTATTTCAGGGGCCTTTTGTTTCATAATGCCACATGTATTTATATCATAGCCATTTTTATTTATTTCATAAGAATATTTATGAATATATGTATTTGTTTGGATACTGCATAAAAGAGTATTCCATACAAATGAACAAATAATGTAATTAAATTGGCACTGTAATAAAAATGAACTAATTGTGGAAGAATCAGACTTATTTATCAAACTGCTAACTGTGTAAATTTTCAATGCAAAATATTTCAGCCAAAACAAAATGCTAAGTATATCTATGTAAATTGACAATGTCATACAAACAACAGATCAATCTTCTTGCAATCTTACCATTCTAAAACTTCAGTGCAACTCACCACAGGTTTTGTTGCAGATGCATGGTGTATATGTTTTGGACAAACATTTAGTTCATTGCAAAGAAAATATCAGACTCAGTCAAGGGCATCAGTGATCGCTCCTAACGAAAAGATTTTTTATAGCATAGAATTTGACAGATCATAACAGGTAAAACACAAGTGGCATCCACCAATAATTTTGCCACTGCAATAAATCACAGTGTCTGCTATATGGTAAATGGTCTGCATTTACATAGCGCTTTTACCCAAAGCGCTTTGCAATGTGTTTCTCAATCACCCATTCACACACACATTCATACAACAATGCAAGGTGCTGCCTGCCATTGGTAGCAACTTCGGGTTAAGTGTCTTGCCCAAGGACATTTTGACTGTGGAGGGGCAGGGGATCGAACCGCCAACCTTGGAGGACAACCCGCTCTACCACTTGAGCCACAACGGCCTGTATGTCATGAGATATGTATTGTATTAGATTTACATTAATTTATATTAGGTATTGTGACTTTGTTTTACTTTGTAATGTCACCAACATCAGTTTTATTTTGCGGTAAAGTGTTTAAAGTGACTGAGGTTTGCATATCTACACGAATAATAAAATACCGAGAAAAAATGTCAGTGGACTTATTAGTTCACGAATATCTTGATATCAGTCTGTGGCTGTTTTTACTGTCTTGGAAAAAAGAGATTTTTGTGACAGTGATGCACTTCATAACCTTGACTTGTGACTTGATGGAACTGGAGTGAGTGAGTCCATTTTATTACATTTTAATCAATCAATAAATAAATATTTATTTAAAATAGTAATAATAAATGAAAAATAATGATAAATCAATAAATTAATAAATAACACAATAAATGTATGTAAATGCAAAAAGTTTTTTATTTTTAAAATTATTACTATATTTTTCTTTTTTAAATTCAGGAACTTTATTTCATAATGCCATATTCATTTATTTATTCTGAATGTTTATTCAATGTATTTATTTACAATAAAAGGAGTCTATATTTAACGGAGCAAATGAAATACTGATCAAGTGCTTGTTTTGTCCCAGGAAATGAGACAAACTGTAACCAACTTTAAAAGAGCCAACTGTTCCTGAACGCAACTCGGCCGCTTTTCACCCAAGATGCACCTGTCCAACCGAACTGTCTGAGAAAAGCCATTTTGTTGTGCTAGCTAGCTTCATGGCAAAGAAAGCCACCAATAATATGGGTCTGTTATATCAACGCTAACTATGTCGCGCTTGTGCTTTGGTTTACTGTCGCAAAATACAATAATTGAACTCGTTAAAATCTGTAAGTAGTCAACACTGACATGGACTAGCCTTCAAAGCTAAAGCTAAAGTATTGTGGAGCAGACGAAAACTGGTAGCTAAAGTGTGCTGCAGTTTCAGATAACATACTGTTAGCTAGCTATCTGTTTACTTAGCTGGCCGTAGTTATGTTTTCTGATTAATTCACCTTACGTTAGTCACTGTTTGCCTGTAAATGTGTTTTAAATAGGCTGCGAGTGGCCGTGCTGTCAACCAAAGACAACTGGTTCAACAAAGCGGCTGTGCTGCTGACAGTGAATAAACAAGCGACTCAACAATCCAGCAGTAACTTAGCAAAACACTTGAACCATACAGCGTTAAGCCAAAGCGCTAATCTGATAATGGCAGAGGACACCCGACAGGACAAGAGGGCCAGCTTCTCTGCTATAACGGAGCACAGCACCAACGGGATGGCCAGGACCTCCACTGTGGCCTCAGGCAAAAGTGGCGCCTCAAAGAAATTAGTGATCAAAAATTTCAAAGGTACTGTCACTGAGCCTTTTCTCCTGCGTTACCTAATAGCAGCAGCAGCAGCAGCATCAGTTATGTTCAATTATTTAACACTGCAAATGATTTCACTTTTAGATCATACTGTAAAAAGTTATCTATCTCGGAAGTGTTTATGTTTTTGACTCGAAAATGTACAGCTGATGATATGACTCCTCTGATCAGTTTGTTGCATAAGGCTCCACATATCAGTTTTCATTTGGGCATGTTTGTAATGCACATGCTTGAATCTTGCAGTGATGTAATTCATTTATTTTTGCTTTTTCCGCGGATTTTATGGGAGTTGATGATTTTTAGAGCCTCTAGCACATTCTGGTTGTCCTATCAGAATTACTTTTTTCTTCTTTTCAGAAAATTCATCATCTGCAAGAACTGGCTTTTCTGTCAGCCCATCAGTTCACACCACAAATTCAAAAAATGTATACTTCATTTCTTAAATTCAAGACAGGGTTTTCTGCAATTAAACAAGTCTATGTTTATTTAGAAATTTAATTGCTAATACAAGTAATTGCAGCCAGCAATAGAATCCATATTCCAAACAGTTCAATTTATTGTGATACATGGCACAACTAGTTTGATCATTTATGCCTCAGATTTAAATCTTGTAATAATAACTGAACATATTTCATTGGTAAAATGACCTAAAAACATTTTAAGTGTGGTTTGATGATGAAAGTTCAAACTAACCTTTCTTTGGGGGTATATTTGGGCAAACATCTTCAAAAATTACATGTCAAATTATGTAAGTTATGGAAACCAGAAATGTAATAGCTCAGTAAAAAAGATCGATCTAATGTTCTATCACCAGATATAATGCATTGTGTACGTTCCACCATGTTAAATGTTTATTTACCAAATAACTTGTGGGTCCAAAGTGTGTGGTGTAGGAGGTACTGCCTCCTTAGTTCATTGTCGGTTATCTCAATAATGATTAGCGAATTGTGATGTTTTATCATTTACATTTATAACCAAGAGAGATACAATATTGCATCAGAAGTTGGTTTGGAATTATTCAGAAGAGTTAATAAGAAAATATAAATAGAAACATTTTTTTACTCCTAACATTTGACAGAGGGTGTTGGAAAAAATGTAGCAGAACAAAAAATCATCAGAATTAATGGTTTCCAAATGTACACCGTATTGTATTTATGTTAAATGTGCCCATGTATGATTTATCCAAATGCCAATAAGGTAATATGTAGGTCCTGTAATTTAATTTTCTTGCTTTTTTTTGTAACAGACCGGCCAAAACTAGCAGAGAACTACACTGAGGACACGTGGCTGAAGCTGCGAGATGCAGTTGGTGCCATCCAGAACAGCACCTCTATCAAGTACAATCTGGAGGAGCTCTATCAGGTTTGCTGTCTGTCTTTTTAAATACAAAGCTGAAGTTTGATTAGTTTTTTTTTTCTTCAAGGCCCTAATTAGTGTGTAAAAGTACTAGATTGTAAAAACATGTCAGTACAAAATAATCCAACATGACTAACACAAAAGCTTTATAGTTTGTCATTTTAAGCACATGATCTCATAGAGAATCAAACAGATCCAAGGTTACCATCAGCTGTGGGGTTACAACAAACTTGCAGAGACTTGTCACATGCCTTGATTGAGTTAATCTATCACAGCATGAACAGAATGTCTACTTACATGTTTGTTAAATAGATGTGCATTGAAGTGCATGTTGATCTGAAAAGTCTCCCCCACATTTCTTCATGAAAAAGTGAATTTTTGTATAATATAAATGGAAACCAGCAGTCAAATATATGTTAAATATGCTAAAGTAAATTTAGTTTGTACAAAATTATCAACAACAAGCTCTTACTCTATGGAAATTTGTGTCTCCTGTGTTGTTGTTTCCTCTCCATGCCTCTGATGAACTTTCTTTCTTACTTTTAAAGGCGGTGGAGAACCTGTGCTCATATAAAGTCTCTCCCACGCTGTACAAGCAGCTGCGACAAGTCTGTGAAGATCACGTACAGGCCCAGATCCACCAGTTTAGAGAATATCCTTTTTTGTACAGAACACTGTCGGGCAAGTTATGTGGTAAACTCTGTGAAACATTTACTGTGTTTGTACAAGGCAGGGTGCATAATTACAAGTTTAAGCATAGTGCAGTGTGGACAAGAACCTAATTGCGTTTTTTCCACTTCTCATCCAGCTGTTGAGTGCAATACTGCAGGTATATTTGTTTCAGTTTTAAGGAGCCCAGTAGGGAAACACATTAATTATTTTTATTTTTATTTTTTAAATATAAGAGCTAAACACTAAAATTAACTAAGCTCTGTGTATAAAGTGAAACTCTTTGGTCACACACCAGTTCCTTAATATTAAGCAGCTCCAAGCGACCA